GGGCAGAGGCCGCTCGGGAGCTCGACGCGGGGTGGAAGGCCTCGAGCCGAGGCAGCTGCTGGCCTCCCGCCTCCCTGTTACACCTCTCCGCTCGTTTTCTAGGCCTGTAGTTTTCCAGGCAGGGACGTTTCCCCGAGCGCCGGGCGCTGATTATCCAGAGGTGTACTCGGCCGAGGGGAGCGATGGTCCAGGAAAGCCACGTACTGGTGATTGAAGTGTGCTGCGTGGGTTGGCAAGCCCCACTCCAGAAACCTTACATCCCCGCCTTGCTTGCCTGTAAAAATTGATATCCAGAGCCTGAGGGACTTGGAGCTGCGGGCCCATCCCCAGGGAGGTGGCAGCTGGAGCACAGTCTGGAGCAGACAGGTCTGAGGGATGAGTTTGAAGCAGGGAAGCGAGCGAAGGCTTCGTGGTAGGGGAGAACTAATGGAGCCAAGGCAGAGATGAGGGAGGGAAGGGAGAGGAGAAAGCAAGAGGCGTTGAAGACACCTGTGCGTGCACAGGGAAATCCAACACTTCCTCTCTTTAAACTGGGAAGAGGGCGAGGGGAAAGTTCAAGAATACCACATTGATCTTAAATTCTGGTTTTAAGCCTGACCATTAATCCTGCCATTACATGCAGCGCTTGACTCTCTTTTAAACACAAGGAGGTGACAGGATAACGACTCTGTCAGAACATCGGGCCTTACAGCGTTGGAAGAAGTGACTCCACCTTGGTGGCTGTGTAGCCGATACAGTGTTAGTTGGAGTCTGTCTTGCTTTTGCATCATGGTTGATTCAGACTTTCTCCCATGAATATGACAAAATAGGTTTTCCAGTGCCTCATTGAATCCTCTCTTTTGCCACGCCCTCACTGGGAAAGAGCTAGGTATCTCCGGTTTACTCCTTGCTTACTTGCTTATATATAATGCATACACACCCCAAACATACAGGGCCTCAAAGTTCAACAGCAAAAGCCGTTCATTAGCAGCATATCCCTGCTGTTAAGGGAGTTTATTAAAAGCATGAAGTGTGTTAGCTGAAGAAAGGCAGTTGGAAGATGATTAGAGGTGTCTCACTTGAAAGACCTGGGACTTGGTTTATGCCCCCTTGCATCTTTAATGATTCATTAAAATAGAAGATTGCTGACCTTTTGCCACTGAGTTGGGGGCTAAGATGCTGCTTGAGCTTATTGTTTCTTTGGTTTTCTCTGCTGCGCGAGGGGATTTTTCTCTCCGTAGCGTATGAGATGATGCACGATACTGAGGATTGCTGGTAGAATATGAGCTGGCTACCTCATGTACTGAAGAGCCTCGGGGTTTTTCATCTCCTTTATTCTGTACGATGTAGCCTTCACGTGCTGCGGTCCAGATCATGCGTGAAAGGTCACTGACAAGGAGGAACACTAGATGGCTGTGTCTCACGCTGACATATGAGCAGGCCTTGGCAATTGGAGTGTCACATCAATAGAGTAAGTTGGAGATCCTGCAAGAGTTTTATAGATCCTTTGGATCCCTGTCTGGGAAGTGTGGGGCAAAGGAACAGAATTGCACTTGACAGCAGTTCCAAAAGATGCTTTAGTAATTGTGGGTACCATCTCAGTAAATACTTGGTATATATTGATGTCTCCCTCAAACCAAGAAGTAGAAAGAAGGGCAAGTGTCCATAAACTTTCTTCCTGGGGGCCTGGTTCCAGCCCAGAAGCTTTCCTGTTCTCTAGTCTGAATTAGACTGTGTGTAAATCAATGTGATGAACAGAACCAGCCCATATGTGGGGTGTTTGTGGTTTTGGTTATTGTTGGGTGTAGTTGAAACTCAAGAGGCTGATCTAGTAGACTCCAGTACTTTCAGTTTTGTTGTGAACAGGTCTGAATTGCATGGAAGTTTTAAACCAGAAATACACATTTAAAATGAAGAAACCTTCTTAATTTAAGAATCAAGAATTTTAAATGTTATTTTTATTGTGCCTGTTCCTTTTTATGCAAGCCTAAGGCAGCAGATGAAGTACAGAATGTAGTGCAACGTCTGCAACCACCTTTGGAGCATGCAGCTTCCTCGTTTTTGTTTAAATTCAGCAGAATGTTAGAAATCCCTCTCTCCTCCGTAGTGCTGGAGCACAATAAAAACATGTCAGAAGGAGGACGCTTCAGCAGAGAATTTCAGGAAATTCACATGCCGTCGTGTTTTGGTTTCGTTCGGTTGGTTGTTTTCCCCCTTGGCATGGGGGCTGCGAACAGCCAGCGTCACCGGCTGGGAAGTGATCTCATTGTATTGTCTCGCGAGCGCCCTAGCGCATGCGTGGTTTGCCCACTATGCGTTTTCCTTCTCTCTTCCAGCGTCAATGCCTGCGTAGACGTGGTCCTGTCTGGCGTGAAGTTGTTGGAGGCGCTCGGTCTTGAACCCGGGGATGGAAAAAACCATGCGGTCCTGAACTCCGGACAGGACCTGAAAGAAGCATTTGCTCACTTCATGGAGAAAGGGGCAGCTGCCGAGCGTTTCTTCAGCGATGCCGAGTCTTTCCATCACATTGCGCAGACGGCCTCCGAGTACCCCGGAGCACAGGTATGTTTTCCACCTGAAGATCAGTATTGAGAAGGGTGTTGTTTTCTGCATCTCAGTGACTTCCGTTTCCGTCTAGCGGGAGTGCAGATCGTTTACGGAAGAAACCTGTGCCATAGCTTGAGCGTGTTAACGGCTTCCACAGCACCCTGCGCCTGCTGCAGGTGGTAGTAGGGCTTTGAATGGTCCATCCCTTGACCGCTTTCCCAGGACTGGAACGTCAGGCCAGGATGCCTCTGTGAGAACACTCTTCTATGGGCGCCAGATGGGGCTGGTGCTGTCAGAGGCTCTAACATCTTGCAGTGAGGTGGGAAGTGAGGAAATGGATCTAAGCATTGGGAGCTGTAAACACTCCGGTCAGCTTCAGCTACTTTAATGCAAAATTTAAATTCTGTCTAGGAGGGATGAAAAGCAGTAATTATTTTTTCTGAAGCCTCCCTTTCCAAATGCAAAGTTCTGTTGCTCTAATTTATACTGGGTCTGAATGTAACCTGGTACCTTGCTTGGCAGTTAGGTAACTTCTACAAACTGCTTAATGCCGCCCTCTCTGCAGTTCACCACCTGCTTCTGAAAATGAGGAAAAGCTCTGAATGTTTTTTCTCGGTCAAGACTCTCCTGTGTTGACTTGTTTCTCACCACGTTTGTTACATTGGCTTTCTGGAGTCACCTGATTATTAGCTGTATCCTTCTCTAGCCTCTTTTCTGTCACCTCTGAGTGCCTGTGATCCTTCTGCCAATCTATGATTTCAAAGCTCACATCGGAGTTTTCTTACGTGAAAGTTTGCCCTTTCTTACCTGAAGTAAGACGGTTCCGCTCACTTCATGTGGGCACAGGTAGCAGGTTTAACCTTGATTTCAAACTGGACGAAGTACTGTTGGAGCTTTCAAATGATTGCTTGTCCGCCTTGCTGACACAGCACGAGCTACCAACCACCACAGAAAAGCTACACGGAAGTAGGGGCTGTTTATGTTACAAATGAATTGATTTGTACAGGGCTGTGAGTCACCTGAAGGTGAATATTGAGATTTTGAAAAGTCAGAGAATACTCAATATTTGTTGAAATCTTGGAGAACTATAAAATTCTTCTGCCTTCGGCACCAGTAGGCTTTATTAATGTCTGTATTGCTACACCCTTTTCTAAAAAGCTACAACCTATACTGAGTATATACAACCTATGTACTTGCATCTACTGTATACAAGCCTGTACTGAGGACTAAGCATGTATAAAGCTACCAATGCAAGGGAATGCCCATACCTGCCTCTTTGTTTTTCAGCTGTATGTAGGAGGAAATGCTGCTCTCATTGGTCAGAAGCTTGCAGCAAATCCAGACCTGAAGGTACGCGTTTCACAAGTTTCGTGCTATCTGCTTGTCTTTAATAAGGCTCACATGACTCCCCTGCAGATTTGGGGGATCTTGCACTTCTATCTTAGGTTACGGTGGAACATATGGTTGGCCTTGCAAGTTGAAAAGCACAGCTGATTTTTTTTTAAAATTGAATTATTTTTTTAACTCAGTTGTCTAGGTGATGGTTAAGTGCACTGAAATGCTGGCAAGGGACGTGCAGGGTGTCGGGGTTTAACCCCAGCTGGCAGCTAAGCAGCCGCTCGCAACTCATGGGTTGAGATAGAAACAGTTCAGCGGGACAGCAGAGGGAGTGGAAATAATAATAATAATAATGTTCCTGCTACAGGAATGTACATTAGAACCCCAAGTGATGCGCAGTGCAACAGCTGCTTACCACCTGGTGATAGATAACCTGTCCCCAAGCAGGGATCCTCCCTGCCAACTCCCCTCAGCTTATATACTGAGCCTGACGCCTTCCAGCGTGAAATGTCCCTTTGGTCAGTTGGGTCAGCTCTCCTGGCTGTGTCTCCTCCCAGCTTCTTTAGAGAAGAGTCTGGGAGAACAGGAGCGGTATGAGAAACTGAAAAACTCCTTGGCTTTCTGTAAACATTGCATAGCAACAGCTAAAACATCAGTGTTATCAGCATTCTTCTCAGCACAGATCCAAAGCAGAGCCTCATACCAGCTACAGTGAGGAAAATTAACTCTATCCCAGCCAAAACCAGCACACAGGGGATCCTTGATTGTTTTTTCTTGTTTTCTAGATCCTCCTTTGTGGCCCAGTTGGCCCTAAACTCCATGAACTACTTGATGACAATGTGGTCGTGCCACCTGAATCCATGCAGGAAATAGATGAATTCCATCTTATCTTGGAGTATCAAGCAGGTACCTTGTCAGAGGCTGGATGTTAGATGGGAACCCAGAACACAGTCCTGGTTTTAAAGTTGGTGTTTTTGACTCAGTTAATTCCAGAAGGACTGTATAAATTATCAGTACTGGCAGCTGTCACTGGGCTAATCCAGTAATTCCATGAGCTTCAGGGAGCTGTGGTAGGTGAACAGACATCTAAAAGTCTTTTGAAACTCTCTTCCTTTGTAGTGCAGTTTACTGTAAATACTGACTCGTGCTGCTGCCTTGCCATCCCTTTGGCTCTGTATGCCTGCACGCTGTAACCCATAGAAACCAAGCGGCCTTTGCGTTTTGTTGTGATGCTCAGCCTAAGCAGACCTGATAGGTAGAACTCTAAAGCTGAATGTACAGAAAACCAGTCAATAATCTCTGAAAACAGAAGGGTACCAATTAACCACACGCAGATGAAATTCAGGGTAACCCTAATGTAATGGACATACCAAATCTGCATGTATTTTCTTGCTGTTTTCAACCTGACTCATTCCACTGGTCCTGTGTCTATATATAGCTTCAGAAAGAGTTGCATTCATGTGACGGAAGAGGGAGTATTTGGCAAGGAGGAAGGCAAGAACCACCTAATTAAACTTTTTCAGCAGTAAAACTAAGGTGGAGCAGCCCCCAAAGCATCCACTCTGATGGACTCTTGGCTGAGACAAGGTCACTGTGACTGACAAGTGCTGTTACACAGTCGCCAAGGGAAAATACGCTTATCTTTAAGTGAATCTTGCTCTTCTCGCTCCTAGAAGGGTCCTGATTAGACGATACATTAGTATGTGATGTCTTCTTTTCTCAGTATCTCTGTTCTCAGGTGAGAGCTGCCCTCCTGATGCAAAGCTGGGGATCTTTGTCTTAGAGCTTCGCCAGAAGCCTTTTCTTAAGAGGAGGCAGCGCTGACGGCCGTTGGTGCCGTTTTAGTGGTTTTTCCATAAACGCTGGTCGTATTCTCCATGGTATAACCAGTGTACAGTCTGGGAGAGCTGAGCGAACAAGCACGCAGGTGGACATTTTGCTTATAATAGCCTCAGAAATTGTGGCTGAAGAGCGTTCTGTTCAGGCTGCGCTTTGTGACCTGTGTTTATTTTTTCCCTTTTCTTTCTGCCCAGTTGTCGTAACTGGCACAAGGAACTGCCTGCTCCATGAAGAGAGATTCATAGGCAGATGAGGAGACTGGCACAGGGCTGGCGGGTTGGACTGTGGCTTGTGAAATCTGAATCCTCTCTCGGCTTGCTGCAGTCACCCTCTTTTCCCATGGCCCAGTATCCTGGCGATGGAGGCTGTGTCATCTGTGACCTTGCCCAGGAGCACAACAGCTCGCACACAGAGCTGACCCAGCTCTATTCCGCAGGCTGCGCAGTAAAAACAGCGAGAGCCACAGGGTTGTTGCGGGTGTACCTTCGTGATACAGCTTGAGTCGGGCTAGCTCAGTCAGGCTAACAGGTGGTGGTTGCCAGAAGAGGAGGTCTCCCCTCTCCTTGCGTATCCCGCACGCTCCGTTTGAGCTGGCTGTGACGCTCCCCTAACGGCGTGATCCACTAACACAACTGCTGAAAACCTCACAAAGCTGGCAGAACCAAACACGTACTGAGTTTTCCTTATGATCAAACATCTGAGAGAGGCAGAGGGAGTGAGCAAATGGGGAAAAAGAGCAAGATTTCATATATGGCTGGCAGTAGCTGTCAGTTGGACACAGCCGTATCCGTGAAGTCATGCCTTCAGATTCCAGCAGGATATCCCAAAACAGTCTCCAGGTACCTGCTTTGATTTGCTTCTCTTCTGACTTCACTTGCCTCTGTTTGTTGGCCCCTAGGTGAAGAGTGGGGCCAAGTGAGAGCACCCAGTGCCAACCGCTTCATCTTCTCCCATGACCTCTCAAACGGCGCCCTAAATATGCTGGAAGTGTTTGTGTCCAGCTTGGATGAGTTTCAGCCGGATCTCGTGGTACTTTCAGGACTTCACATGATGGAAGGCCAGAGCAAGGAGGTGCGACAGAGACGACTCATGGAGGTAAGATACTTCAGTACCAGCGTCTCCTTCATTTCCATTCCAACAAGCGTGTTGTGGCAAAGACTTGGTTTCCCAGGTTTGAACTTGAAACTGGGCTTTGTCTTCAGACCTCCCGCAAATCTTCTCAGTATCGCATTCTAAAAGGAGAATGTGGACTGTAGGAATGGCAAAAGGCTAATCCTGCAACACTAATGTTTCTTGGATTCAGTGGGTTGTCTAGGGGAATCAAAGTACGTTCGCTTATCTAGTGGCTAAATTAGACTTTTTCTATCCCAGATGCTGAGATGATCAAGGTTATAATCAAGACTTGCATTTGTTAAGCAGCATCTGTTCGGTAATACAAGAGGCAGCTTTCTCATCTGAGCCCAGAAGAGCTTCACCACGTTTTTATTTACAGATCGCTGCCTGTCTTAGAGCTGAGTGCCCTTCCCCGTGCAATGCACCAACCTTCTTTTTTCCCTTCTCTCTGCTCTTCTATCAGCTGTTCTACACCTGCTTCAGATCTGTGAGGCTTGTGAATTAGTCCATGAGAGAAGTGCGGAGTTGGGTGCAGATTAGGGTTAGATACAGTTTGCCCTGGGATCCTGGAAACTGGAAGTTGGTGTTATTTCTTCCCCTGAGAGGTACGTTCTGGCACTCGTCAGACATCCTCATTTGGAACTGTGTTTAAAGCCACACACAAGAAGATTGAAGGATGTGCGTCTCTGGGTCAAAACCCCTTTTTTCTTTCTGTTTCTTAATGAACGTATGGTTTAGGGTGCTGAGGGTTTTTTTCTTTTCCTGTGCCCCTGTAGGCTGTGGCCTCCATCTCTGATATCCCCACTGACATTCCCATACACCTGGAGTTGGCCAGTATGACTGATCAGGATTTTATGAGCAACATTATGCATCAGGTAATGAAAATGAAAGGACATGCTCTTTTTATCAGTTTCCTTTTCTTCAGTGTCATAATGCACAGAGCAGTAGATGTACGTAGAAAGAAAAACCCAAAATGCGGGCTGTGCATTTGAAGGTAAATTGAGAACAGGGGTTTAATGTCTGCTGCTGCATCCTGAATGCTTCTGTTGTCTCTGCTGAGCTTCCCAGAGCCCGCCCTGTGCAGCGAACGAGAACTGCAGTGACTTAGCAGAGGACAGGTCTGCTTGCTGTAGCTCAGAGGGAGTATTCCTTTTAGAAAGCTCTCTCTGGGAAGTTTCATTTAGGAGGGATCTCGCGGCGCTCTCAGCCGATGAGCGCGCCGCTTTCAGCAAGGAGTAAGGAGTTGTTGCAGATCCGAGTGTATTCAGCAACTGTGTTCAGTAGAAATACCCTGTGACACAGCTGGGCTCTGCTCCCCGGTACAACGATTCTTCTTGGAGTCACAGGGAGGGAGAGGAGACCCAGGAGAGTCCTCACAGCGGCACAAGTACAAGTAACCTTGGCTTAGATTTAGCAGGTCTGTGTATTTCTAGAAAAAAACAAGATTTAAATTTGAGCTGAGTTTAAAATTTAAAAAACAACTCGATTTCTTTGCAAAATTCGTTTCCTGCAGATCCTCACGGTTCATTGTTTTGCTTGACACCGCTCTAATCTCAGTCGTATGAGTGCTTGATGGGGACTTGACGTTCTGTTACTGTTTAATGTCAAAGTGTGTGGCTAGAAAATTAATTGCCCGAAAGAGCATGCGTCCTTGGCAGGAAGTGTTGTCTTGGCTAAGTAATTCTTGCAGGCGTGCTGAACTGGGCAGTGACTTTGGCCTGCAGCTCTCCCGGAAAGTGGGTGCTCCCTGCTGCTGAGCACGCCGGCGACAGGCCCAGTAACACAGTAATGTAAGAACAAGGCCTTGAATGAGGAAGATCAAGGACTGATCCTCTCTCTGAAGGAAAAACTGTTGTTCCCGTGTTTCTGTTAGCAGGTCTTTCCCCTGGTGAACTCCATAGGGCTGAACGAACAGGAGCTGCTGTTCCTCACGCAGTCTGCCTCCGGTCCCCATGCCTCCCTCGCTTCCTGGAGTGGAGTTCCTGACGTGGGGGTAGTCAGCGACATCCTCTTCTGGATTCTGAAGGAGCACGGGAAGACAGCAGACCGGGCCTCTGACCTCACTCGGATCCACTTCCACACCCTGGCCTATCACATCCTTGTCACAGTGGACGGGTACTGGGGCAACCAGGTTGCTGCTGTGGCTGCCGGAGCGAGAGCAGCAGGGACTCAGGCCTGTGCGACCGAAACCATCGACACCAGCAAAGTCTTCCTTAAAGCTCCTCTGGAGTTTGTGACCTCCCAGGCAGAGGCACCTTCCAAAATCTCTTTAAATCCAGATGAGCCAGTGGTGCATTGGCAGAGAGAAGGCATCTCATTCCATTTCACTCCCGTTCTGGTGTGTAAAGATCCTGTCCGGACCGTGGGACTGGGGGATGCCATTTCAGCCGAAGGACTGCTCTACTCAGAAGCGTATCCTCAATAGAAGCCCAAGACCCTCCTTGTTCTCCAGTACTGTAGGGTGTCTGAGGAACCACGGTGTTCTCACTAGGACTTCAGCCAGTGGTGAAAGGGAATAGGAACAGAATTGGGGTGTGGTGTGTTTTCTGGATATAACTGAACAAAAGAGCCAAAGAATAATTCCAGGTATAAACTGTCAGATACATTCCAGTCACTTGGCGGTGACTCGAATGCTTCACACTTAGGTGCAGATGTTTTAGTATTTAATGTGAAAATTGGCTTTGCTTTGTCTTAAGCATGTGGGGAGGGAAACGAATATCAAATCCCCGTTTGGCTTAGGTTGGCTGTAACTCAGAATGGGTCTTGACGGTTAGTGCTGGAAGGTACTGCAGCCGGGAGAATTCCCTGCGATCCCCTGGAGCCCAGGGAGAGCACAGCAGTGTTCGTCCCTGTCTTGCCTTTGATAAATTAAAAATCAAAAGGCTCCTGCATTATCTCCTCACAGCACATTGCTGTGTGGGAAGAGCAAACCTTCCGCTCGCTCGGTGTGACGATGAAGTCTTTTACCGATGAAATTACCTCTCGGCCTTGGTGCCCCCAGCACTGGAGGGAGCCAGAGTCCCGAAATGTGATGTGTACCTGCTCCCCAGACGCACGGCGAAAACCTGACTCACGGCTGCGTAGATGATTTTGGGTGTCTGTCATCTCGGTGACGAGTGGTATTTCAGCTGAACCCTAGCAGCCCATGCTTAGTGTTCGGGCAACTACAAGTGAAGATAACCAGGGTTGCTGTCTGGGGAGGCAGCTTTATTTTCTTGCCAGGTAAACCACAAAGCGCTACCTGGGTTTGCTGTACCTGCAGTATCACGAGTTCCGGTGGGGGGGCTCACGCTGGTGTTCTTTGCCGACGGTGGCTGCTTATAGCTGGTGTTGCACAGAAAAGCTGTCGAGTGCTGGAGACTGATTGTTTTGTTTGAGAACGGTTGTGCAATCGCCTTCGATTTCCCTGCCTTCCCTTCAGGAGGGTTGATGTATTAGGGAAGGTCCTTCCGGAGGCTCAAAAGCTGCAACAGCGCTTTCCAGGTGAGACTGCAGTGAGGAGGGGTTTTTAGGGTTTGCTTCTGTTGGGGTTTTTTTCTCTGACGAGGTCCCTGGTCGTTTCTTTGCTCTGGAGCCTTTGAAATTAAAAAGTAGAACCATGCGTCCTTGTTAAATCCTTTGTTTACATTTTCCCTCTTGGTCGCACACTACGGATTGGCTGGCACCAGCATTTTTTGTCGGTTTCCAGCGTGGTTTTCTCTCTCTCCACTTCCAGGAACTTGAGATGCATTTGCACAGCTGTCGTACACGTTTTTTCGGTGTAACTGGATTAAATGCAGTCTGCTGGTCTGTGCAAGCCTGTGCTATACCAGAATTTGTAGGAGGTCACTTTGGGTCAGTCTTTGCGTCAGAACGGAGGGGAGGAGAGGCCGTATCAATTAGGCTGGAGTGAGCTGTTTCAGTAACACGCTCACAGTGCTGTCAGTGATGTTCTCCTGTTGGAAAATGCCACCGTGAATGCTCCGCAAGGAGAAAAAATGACAGCTCTTGTAACTCGTACTGACTTGGCACACAGTGCTGTCTGTCAACGTGTACTTAACTTCTGCTTTCCCTCCGAGCAGAGAGGAGAAATACAGTCAGTGCTGTGTTTTCCTGCAGCTCATCCTATCCTCCTCTTTCACTGAGTCTCAGCAGTTCATCTCAGTGCGGGATCTTCTTAAAACTGGAAGTATTTCTATCCAGATTATTATTGATAAATGGTAGCATGGGACTTGGAGTTCTGGTTTAGTCTTTCTACAGAAAAAAATAAAGAAAGAAATTCTCCTTTCCTCCGTCTAAAAGGCCTGAGGCCATTAGCAAGGTTATTGTGCAACCTTTGATCGTAGCCTCTGGCACACCACCCCGAAGGCCACCGAAGGCCACGCACCCCACCAGCTGGAGAACGAATCTGTTGCTCACGCCAGGTCCCGCTTTCCTGACGCTGGGCCAGGCTGTGTGGATTCTCGAGTTGGAAAGAAAACAAAACTAAATATACACAAGCTGTCAGCAGCCAGAGTCCTGCTGCTGTATTTCGCTTCTCTCTTCCAAAACCATTTGCAGGGATGCGAGGCTGATTGGACTGGCATTGCCTTATGGCCATCGAAAATCACGTAACTGCACAAACGGAGCCTGTCCAGGGGTAAGTTATGCTTGGATTTAACAGCAGTACTACAGGCCTAAATTACCTTTTTTTTTAAACTACTTTGAACAAATAACTGCTGTAAACAAGTATGAAAAAGAGGTTTATTGCTTAGAATTCATCTGGGCCTAAAAGCTAAACTAATTATTATTATTAACTCCTTCCTGCTGCTCCTGTTCTTTCCCACCAGGTAACGTTTCCTTGGCCTGTTGGTGTGCTGTGAGTCCCTGTCCCCCCGCGTCACATCTCAAATGACAGTAGCTCACGATGGCTGACAGCTGCTCTGTCTGTGTATCTGCTTTGAACAGAGAGACAGTTCACCTGGTCACCGAATTCACTTACCGAGGGTAATTCTTAACACGCGTGACCTGTTAAATCAGATGTGCCGTTGGTATCCCTGATTAAGTTCTGAAACAATCTATATGATAATAAACTGAAAGGAGTGGCGGGACCAGCAGCCTGCCTTCACTTCATGCTTCATGTGCTGTGAGCATGGTGCGCTTAACTTCCCCCTGCCTCCCAAACTTAATTACGGTAAGGATGGCAGCGTCTCTTGAAGTCCTGCTGCACGTGTAGGCTGTCTCACACCTCTGCACAGCTGCAGCAGTGACAACAAAGCAAAGCTGCTTTTCTTTAACAGCCCTCGCTGAACAACAGGGATGGAAATAGCTACTGGGGTGTTTTTGGTCTGGATAGGGGGAAAATAGTGAAATACCTAGTGATTGTGGGTTTTGTTGTTCAGTCGGTTTGGGTCTTCTATAAAACACAGAAGTCCTTGGCAGGCGAGAGATTTTTAAACAACTTGATCTAATGGATTATAAAATACCAGATCTCTCTTCACCATGAAGAAACAGAAAAGTTGCAAAAACACCAAAGCTTCAAAACCAGGCTTGAAGTGCTCTCTGCCTTACTCTGATCCTCTGTCTCCAGAAATTCTGTTTGTTCTCGTGTGTTACTCATACCTTGCCATCCGCAGTGACGGGTGACTCACACCTCCCCTACCCCTCCACAGAAGGGCTTCCCCTGCAGCTGCTGATTCACACAGTTTGCTGAAGATGGGACAGGTGAGCTCATCATCAGGACAGTAAACTGGGGGCTCTAGACGATAAAATCTGTGCACGCTGGTGTTTTCACTTCAGTGTCTGTAGCCAGCGCAGCCACGTCACTGTAGCATTTCCCTTACCTCTGATCAAACCAAAGGAATGCCTCCTCTTCCCTGCGTGTGCTGCCTGCGGAAGGTCAGGCAGCGGGTCATTGAGATGCGCGAATCACGGGAGGCTGGCAGAGCTTGAAAGGACACAGCGCTTCTCTGGTGGGCCCATGGTGGCATGGGATTGCTACCTGGCTGTGGAAAAGCCAATCCCAAATCCAACTCTTTGCCATTCAAAGGATTGGGTTTTTTTCTTTCTCCAGGGGAGTTTCACAGCATTGCTAAAGAATGATTTGGTTTTCTTTACTGCTGTGATTCTTGGTCGTCTCCTGCTGTGGTACCTGAGGGCCGGTCAAGCGCGCTCTTCTCTCGTGAGTTCCTTCTGCAGAAATGGTGCTGAAATTAGCCTTTATGCATTGCCTCTAGCCAGGATCTCACCTGCTTTCACCCGTGTTGGATGTTGCTTTAGAGCCCAACTCCTCAGCTACTGGATAGCAGCCGAGCGCTAGATCCACTTCCAGAACCTAACAGAAGCCTGTCAGCAGTGTGTGTGTATTTGCCATCAGTTGTCTTCTGCCCCAGTTTATTTTAAGATGAGTTGGCCTAAGGTAGGGGTTGGTTTTGTAGCCGCCTCTATAGTACACCTCCCAGTGACAATAAAAGGTGGATCTTTAAACCGTGAAATCCATTGTTGCTTTTTTTGCTGGCTCTAATCACATACTGAATTATCAAGAATCGCCTGCCACGGGGTGCCCCTTCCAGTCATGTCCTGAGGAAAGAAGTTAAAATGAACGTCGGGACAGGTTTTGTGCGAATGGTCCAAGGCAACAGAACTCTTCCCCGTTACACCAGGAGTTGTTTAAACGGCTGTGCTGTTGGGCTCCGGGTTGGAGCTTGCAGCTTCGGTGAAAGCTGACGCTGCTACCCCGGCGTGAGCAGCTAAGCTGCCCCCGCGCTGGTGTCTGGCACGGGCTGCGGATGTACGTGCTTAGAGCAATCTGTTCTGAAGCAGTCCTGTCAAGTACTTCTGTCACACTGCGTGCCGCGTTGCTATTTCTGCTGCAGGCAGCTTTTTAGTACATTTGGAAGAACAGTATAGAAACGGAGGAAAACACTGAATTTACATTTTTATGGCTTTAGTTGGGTTGTTCTTATATCCTGCTTAAAATCGTAATTTGAAGGTGAATGTTTGTTTCAAGCCATATTAATTGTCCTCATCTACAGTGCAATTACTGTTTTAGTAACAGCACAGAGTTAAGTTTTAAACCTGTGATCATACCAAAGTGGATCTTTCAATGTTTAAAACAAATTACACGACTGGTTGGTTAAGCCCAGCTAAAACAGACACAGCAAAGACTGTCTCACATTCTTCATTCAGGAACTAATGAGGTAACTGGAGAGAAATGGGAGCACTAAAGGTTGTCTCTGCACTTTGGTTTTCAAAGCTGGAGCGGTTAGGGGCAGAGGGAACCTGTTTGCAACGAGTCGTTTTGCGTAGCCGATGCCTGGCCGGCTCTCAGCCCTCGCTCCTGTCTGCTTCCTGCTCTGGCAATGCTGAGCCTGGTTACACTCTTGACTAAAATCTTTATGGTAGAGCCAGAGCGATTGTTCTCGTGTCTGTTCAGAGATGTCACATGTTCTCTTCTGTAACAGATGGAGCAGTTCCTTGCATAACATCTCAGGTGGATCCCAAGCGCCAACCGGGCTGAATTCTCAGGGAGGTGCTGACCCGAGCTCTTGTGGGAGGCTGTTCTCAAACGCAGGTCGGAAATAGCACGCGCGGCCATTCCCTTCTGTGCCAGAAGCTCGGGAAGGCATCTCTTCCCAGCAGCTCACTGCTGCTTCGAAAACTGAGCCTAGTGTCAGCCCTTGCTGAGCAGAGCTCACAGCAGCTGAGGGACACAAATGCTGGCAGCCAGGAGGGAACGACAGCGTTGTAAAATGGGGAAACAAAACACATACCCTGAAAACCTCCCCTATGAATTTCTCAGGAAAGCTGCTCCGTAGTCAGTGCCGCCTGGGTAAAACTGGGTTCAAACCTCGCCTGTACCCTTTGTTAAACACTGATTTTTGTGCAGTTTGGCCTGAGAGAGTGGCAGAGCTTTCCTTGCAGCAGAACTGTGTTTTCTGTTACACAGGACGGTCTGGCAGGTGAACTGTGTGTTACAGCGCGTGCGTGTCTTGTAGTGCGCTCACGTGCGCGCCTCGTTATTTCAGTGAGGTTTGGCTGGCTTCATTCAGCACGGAGCCTTCTCTGTCCCTGTAGAAGAGGCTTGCCAATTGAAACTCACTTCCCAACGGGGAAGTCTGAATTTTTAACATCTTACGCAAGAAGAGGATGTTGAGTAGGACCCATGGTCCCCTTGCTCAATTCTGCCAGTCAGTGACCACAGCAGGAGCTCGGCACGTGTACACCACTGCCACCTGTATCATAAATGCGCGTCCAGTTGTCTCAGAGACCTCAAAACCAGAGCTGTCTGGCTTGCATACATGTTGGCGGATGGATGGAGCACTCCTTGGCTCAAACAAGGTCTTGCTGCTCAGGTGTTGCTCTTGAGGTGTCTTCTAGTTTCCTTCCCGTGAGGAAGCCAAGCTGCAGTCCATGCTGTCAGCTGTAGGATTTAACCTGGTTAATGACATCCATTTTTCTAAAAGGGCAGAGGGAAGTCCTGAAGCAGATGGTTTCTCCTTCCCTAGAACTTAGGCTCATTATTCTTTTCCACGTTAAAATTTCAGTTATGGAGGAAAAAGCGAAGATTAGAATTACGGCCGATGCCACAAAGAGGTTTTGGAACATAAGGTGTGATTTCTAAAGTCCCTAAATGACTAAAAATCCCTTGCTGAATTTCAGCTGAAAGAACAGTCTGGCCTCATTCTCATCATTAGGTATCATGCAAAAAGCTCTCCATAAAGACAGTATGAATTTACTGTATGCAAATGCCATAGTCACAATACCCAGGGGAAAGAGAGGGGACAAGAAAAGGAATTGCAGTTCTGTTTATTATCCAACTGTAATTACATATTTAAAAATGCTTCCTTAGACATGAAACTCCCTTCTGCTCTGTTCATATCCAGAAAGTAACAGGTGCTACTGCTCCTTTTCTTAGAAGGAGAATTGGTCAATCATCTGCATAAGCTTTTCACCAAAATACGCATTTATTTTAAACCCCCCTACAGTGACTCCACGTGTAGCATACCCTCTGTACTAAGGTGTAACATTCACTCCGTAAAAGCATCCTAACGGGCAAGACGGTAGCAGGTAGCAGTGGGACTGGGCGAGAGGAGAGAGGTCACTGATTGTTCCTTGTCTCTGGGAGGCTGCAAGCTGAGAACAGTGGTGGGGCAGTGGCTGCTCCCATGCACTGAATCTAGCAGAGGAGTTTCATAATGCTGCGGTTTCCGTTCACTCCTCTTTTGTACTCGAGCAGAGGGCAGGGGAAAGCGGGTAGTGACATCACAATGCAGGGGCACGAGCAGACGGAGGGGAAGTCTTCCTGTATCAGCAATGCTGGTGCTCACCTACCTGTCATCACGCTGTTCTGATTGCTGTTCCTGGTATTGGAACTTCCATGGCTTGAAAGCCTTTGGGGTAAGACTAAAAGATCACAGCAATCAGTTGCTACTGGAAAAAACTGTCATGAAGTAAAGCTTTGGGGCCTACCCTTGCTCTGCAATCTTAACCTCTTCCTCACAGGCACTCTGTTACGCTGCAGTAACTTCCCGTGTAGAAAGTCTAATGTGAATAAAAATCACTGCACTGTACCTGATTTACACTGCTGCTTGTCTGGTTTGTTTAATTTGCCAGTGCTCCACCAAAGATGCTGTGTCTTCTTCAACTCCTAGCACGAGGGAAGGCTTACAGGAGTGCTGCCCGGAGGCTGGAGGTCCTCTACAAAACCAATCAGTAGGGGACAGCTGGGAAAAAAAGCCACATCAGAGATAAGCAGGCAGTTTTGGCAATCAAAACAGAGGAGAAAGCGAAGGGTTCCTACTCTTTCAGTGTTCTCCCAGGAGGAGGACAGCACTTCAGTTCCTGGTTGTGCTCTGAAGATGCATTAATGTCATTCTGGATAATGGCAGCTAACCACACGAAGGATGTTGATATATCCAGAGCCTCGCTGCTTTTACGTAGTTGCTACAGAGGAGTTTCCATTACTAACCCTCCTCTGCTGGACTGGTTAATTATGGAGTGATACAATTCAACAGTGCAGAACTAAAAGCAGGAAATACATTTTAAAAAGCCGAGTACCTTGACCAGCAAATACACCGAACCCTGAAGCTCCGCTTTTTGCCGGCCAGTGCTACACGTTCTGTTTGGAACGCTCAGATCGCAAGTCCCACAGCGACCGTAGCCTTGTGTACTGCTCGGTACGCAGAGGGGAGGATGAGAAAAACTGTGCTTAACCCACTTACTGGTTCTTTATGGAAAGTATGATGGCCCCGCCTTTGGTTCCCAAAAGCAGTTGTTTTGAGGAGCTGTATCAAGCCTTGGATAAATCCCAGAGGCAACAAACTGACAGTGGCAGAGAAAAGGAAGGCTGAGATTTTGCTGTTTGAGGACAGAAACATTTTCAAAGCATCTCTAGTATCACATGGGCATGAAAATTCCTTGCTCTGCTCACCCAATGGGCTGCTGTGCTGCCTTGCAGCTAGCATAAATGATTTCTCCTAAAACACAACGGGAAGGAGGGCATAACTAAATTATTCAGAGCATGGCTCCTGTCATACTACAACAATTTAAATTTAGCTCTGAAGCTGACCATATCATCTTTGCTGAAAAGGCTTGCTCTTTTTCCTGCAAACCAGTCCTTCCCCCCACACTGAGCAATACAAATTCTCAAGGAAGAACTCCAGTCACATGGGCAGAGCTTCACTGAGGCTCATTGACCCTGTTTCTCAGCAAACAATTAGGAATTTGGCAGACTTTTTTGCTGCTGCAGCTAGCTTGCTTCCAGAATAGCCAGCCCCTGAGCACTTGCGTTCCTGCAGGCCAGCTTTGCAACTTCCCTAGCTACCACACAGTAGCTTACGCTGAAAAATAGGCTGGATTCAAGAAATACAGAGTGATCCTGGGATCCGAGGATGCACAGTCCTAAAGAAGCCAGCCTTACAAGTTCAGCCGCTGGAACGGTTTGATCCTGTTTGGGATCCAGAGTGCTAGGTCACAACTGCTGGCTTTTCTAAACATCCTGGATGTCTCAGCATCCTTTCTGGAGGACTTACACCGAACACTGGAGACTGCCAACCCCGTGGAGTGATGGATCTCCATCCTCTAGTCTCTTATAGCACTAACAGTGGCTACACAGATACCTCTTCTGATCACTGCAACAGCTCCTTGGGGCAAGGCTGATACCACGTGCTAAAATCATTAACAGAAGACAGCTGCGTTTGGAGTAACTGACACCGGGCTGAAGCCACCGTGAGTCGGGGGAGAGGACAGGTCCCTTTCACACAAGTCAGCAGGCAGCTCTGGAGGTGCTCCTGCACCTGCCTGTCCTGAGAAGTCCATCCTAGTCTGCTGCCTGCCGGCTCTTGCGCTTTTCTTTCCTCTGCTCCTCGCTGGCTGTTGGTGCCGAGGTCTCCTCGGGGCTCATTTCCGAGTCTGGTTCTGGTTCCAGAGGCAGGGAGGGAGGCTTTGCAAGAGGAGCTGATGCTCCAGCACCTGGGGAGAGAACACACTTACAGTTATGGTATGACTATGCATGTTTTGTCCATTCTTTTTGCCCTTCCAGGTACAAGGAGATGCAGAACAATCACAGCTAGTAATGACTCTCGGATTTCTTCTGTCTGTCATTAGCTTATTGACAGCACTCAACTCTTTGTGAGTTCCCCAGCCAGAAACCTTACAGTACCCAGAGTTCTGCTGAAGGGAAGCTACGGTACAGTGTCTCATTCAGCTGGCCTGCTGTGAGAAGTCAGTACAAACTCAGGAATTAACTCATGCTCATGCTTTGGAAGGGAAAACAGTTCCACTGCAGCTGGTTAACCTTAAGGGAAGCCAAAACCACAGAACTGTTTCCAGTTCATAGTTTTTGCAAACGCAGAGACAGTTTCCAGGCAGTTAAGGTAGCTACTTACAGCCTAAAATCACAACAGGACACTTCGTTGGTGAAGTTTTTCTACACTTAGATTTAGACTGACAACGGATGTTATGAACCAGCTCCCTTCTCTGATACAGATAATAAAGTCCTTCAGGTAAACCCTAAACTCCTGTTATGTTTTATTTTTCAGCTTTCCTGCCCAAGTCTTCTCTGCATGGAAAGTTTATTCCACACATGAGAAATGGAGCAGGTCCTTAGGGGTGCCAAAGAAAGAGGCCTGGATTACACAACGTCTCTCCTGGCTCAGGCCACAGGCAACAAGACTAAGAGTGACAGAAAATCACCACTATGAGCAGGATCTCTAGCAGATTCCTCCTTGGAAGCCAAGGGGTGAGAGGAGGTCAGGCTATGAATGGTGGCTCAGGAGATGCTCCTACCCCACCTCAGCAAGAAGCAGAATGTACAGCCATCAGCGTAAGCACTGTACGGCTGACTCTATCCTCTGAGCATCCTTCAGTCCAGTGGCCTGCACTAAAAGGTAATCCAGCAACATCTGCAGGGCAGGGACCTGGCTGTACAGCTTCAAAGCAATCCAGCTGCAGTGATTTTTGTAACAGAAATTATAAAGCTCTTTGGAAAATTGTCCCTTATTCCCTTTCTCTCAGCAGCTTGTCTGTGCACATCAGCTCCTGGGCTCTTCCAAAGGAAGACAAGAGGGCTGGTTTCTGAAACCACCTCCTTTCCAGAGCAAGATCTCAATTCCATGCTAATGGAGTCCTGCCCATCGTGGCTTAAACAGCAAAGGAAACTTTATTGGCTTTGCACACCCCTGCAAAAGCAGGATAATACAATGCACCACAGAGAGCATCTTCCTTACACACTTCCTTAACGCAGAAATCTGGGAAAGTTATTACCAAATATTGACATCACTGCTGTGTAAGCAAGTCAATGCCTTCCTAAACACATGCTGTAACTGTACTCAAGAGAGATTTCTCTTCTCCCCTCCCACAGTTCTACCCTAAAGAGTAGCAAAAGAGAAGTACCTGGGGGAAGCTGCATGGTTTTCCCATACCCCGCGGCTGAGGACATGGCTTGACCCAGGGCCTGGTTAGAGCCCAAAGGCTGCTGAGTGCTGGAGGATTTCCCTGACGGAGCAGCTCGCTGCTTGGATTTAGACTCTTTAGAAGGCTTAGTCCAGACCAGGCTCTCCCCCACCTGCAGGGCAGCTCCCATCTTCTGGGCAACCTCCACCATCTTCTCAAGAAGCAAAAAAGAGAAAACCATTTTAAACAGGAGCACTTCAGACAACAATAAAGTCAACAACACCACAAAAATAACCCGTAAAACAAGAGCTGTGCAGAGCTGGCTACTGCCTTGGTGCTCGAGGGAAACATCCCCACTAATTCATTCCTTTAATTAAGAGGAAGACTTCTCTTGCTGCGTATTGATTGAAGAACTGGGCTTCAAAGAGCAGAATTGAAGCAAGCAGCTCTCAGCAGGCGACTGCTCTACTTGGAAAATCTCGTAAGCAGAATTTCTTCCTAATAATTGGACTCCAAAGTCAAATTTCCTCCTCATTTGTTGCCGGTCTTAGTGTGGCTACTTAGTTCCGGCTGACAGCCGTTAGGCACGTACCTCAGGGTCAAAGTCAGGCATACTGCTCTCCTGCGCTGCGTTGACCTTCTTCTCCATCTCCTGGTACTGGCAGAGGGCTCCCTTCTTGTCGCCCTGGTTATACAGCAGGACAGCATAGTTCAGGTTGACAAGGGGGTTGCTCCTGCAGCGAACACAGGATGCATCGCATTCACCATGGGAACACTTATCCTGACTCGAATAACGTTAAGATGTGCCCAGGCAGCAAAGCTGGAGACACCTTACTGTCTGGCACAGAGAAGCCATGGGGTACTCTGACCCCGAAGCACATGAGGGGCTGCACAGCCAGAGTCCTTTGGGAACACCAACAGAGTCCCACGTGCTTGGTGACAGACATGGTGCCCGTGCTCAGCCAAGTATCCCAGTGTCAGTGACAATATAAACAACTCTGCTGACGGCCTCACCCGCTGCAAGGCTCTGCCCCGCAACTGCCCCTGGGGACTCTCAGGACTGTCTTTAGCACGTGCCTGCTCTCCCAGGCCCTTGCTCCCAGGGCAGGTAGAGCAGTTCATCATGTTGTGAAAGCTGGTCTCTGCTCTGACTTACCTTAGGCTCTCACAGACTGCCAAATTCAGACAGGGCAGTGGAACAGACTCATGCTTATTGACTGTATTTTCCAACCCAGTGTGCTACAGAACGTGGTGTTTTCATTTCAGTTCTCTCTCATTCACCCAGCAAAAGCACACGTAATTGTATGCACTGTTATATATGGGACACCTACTAATGAAGGACTCACACAGGAGACCTGCGCCGCGGATAACACTGTCACCCTGTGCCGTCCTGCCTCCCTTCCTGATGCACAGCAGCATATGAAGATTTCAAAAGGCAGAATTGCTCCATATATTCTCATTTTCCACAGTATCCATTTTCTTCACTAGGCTACATTAACCCCAAACAGCAGTTTTTCTTCTGGCATAGCCAGGAGTGTGAGCAAACTAAACTGGAGAGAAAGAATGAGCTGATTCCCTTGGCTCTGTAACCAGTAAGTGAAGCTCTTCCTTCATTGCCTGCCAAGCCACACAGCAAACTGCTCTGACCATTCTTCAGCAGTCTGAATTTCACCTTTATTCCGGAGAAGCAAAATGCATGTGTGTTATCTGACAAAGAAATGAAATGCAAGAGGGTCACTGGCTGCAGCATGGGAGCTCATACAGACGCTTGGCTGATCCAGGCTGCAGGATGAGACCTGGAAGAGCAGAGGTTGCAGTTGGTGGGAACATGGGATGTGCTGTCGAGGGGTGCATGGGAGGTCACTGAGCGCAGCTCCTCCCTGCAGAGCAGCCGCACACATGTATCACTGCCCACAGGTCAACGAGGGATGCTTTGTACATTGCTCAGGACACGTGAGTGAGGGACTGGTGCCCTCTCCTGGAGTCCGGCAGGGATAACTGGAGCCATCCAAGGACTCCAGCACCCAAGTGGGGGGGCCAAGGCAAAGAGGGCATCCTTTGTGAAAAGTGCAGAAGGGAAAGCTCCTGCTCACACCGTTCAATAAACAGAACGTGTCATCTGCAGGCCATGACTATCCATCCTTGGTAAGTTATACAACAGCGCTGCAAGAAAGAAGACTATTAGAAGAAATCTGATAGCATTTATAACCATGGGTTTTCCTTTAACTCAGAAACTGGAACACTGATCCTGCCACAAAAAGAAAGAACAAAATTCCTCACTGTCTTTTGCCAAGCAAAGGAGGTAATGCATAAAAAATTAAATATCAAAATCCCATCTCTTCAGGGGGAAAAAAAAAAAAACCAAAAAGAAAATAGAGAAACCAAGCCCACACAACAAACCACTGAAAACAGAGACCAGACAGATCTGGGAACAGCCAGTTTTCAAATTAATTGAACCTTATCAAGCTAATTTGCCTTCAAGAGCTGAGAAGCAACACGACAGTTAGAAAAAAATCAATAGCTGAATAACCACAGAAAGGACAGCTATGAGCTAGAACCAGTACTAAGAAGAAACACCATCTTCTAAAGATTTTTCCAAGATGCTTTCCGTTCCAGACCCCAGCAGGGCACCCAGGCCAAATGTCACAGCACCGCTATAAAAGTATTTATGGCAGTGGAAACAAACATGGCTATCTTCATCCCAGCCAAACAGCCCATAATACGCCAGCGAAGGAAGCCTGTGGGGACATGGATTCAGCCACACAGTAAGTGTCTAAAATATACGGCATGTCAGCTGAGCAAGCCTAACAAAATCTGGATATGCCTCCCAGCAGTCCCTGGCAGTTGGCACTCATTTTTGCTTTGAGGAGGTTTTATTTTCCCAGTAAGACCATATAGCTGTAGCATCACAATCGTGCCAAACAGTTAGGCATAATCGTAGGGTTAAATTTCTATTCCTTCTCCTTGATCAAAGCAGGCAAATTCATGACTAAGGAGCCTGAACGAACTGTGAGGTCGTGCACTGCCTTGCTAGGCAGGGAAGGCTGGTTAGGAAAGCCAGGCAAAGGTGTCGGCTGGACTTAGCAGGGCCGCTAGGAAGGACTGATGCATAACTGCAAAATGCTCCCACACAGCAATACCTCTAGAAATCTTTGGCCGTAGTTTGCACAAGTTTGGTTTCTCTGAGGCGGCTGCACAGACCTACTGATGTTTGAAACAGATGCAGAAGTAAACCTGCTTCGTAATTCTGTTGATGCGTAAGGACGAAGAACTTCAAGTGCCAGACGTGTGCTGGCTGTGCAGGGCTAACTGACTCGAGCTCTGGCATGCATGCAAGCCCTGTAATTCCCAGTGAACGTCGGAGCGCGTTTACAGCACCTCTTTGCAAAGAGAACTGCGCTACAGCACCAGACACTCTTTTCTTGAAACCTGCTGCCCTTTATAAGGGGCTTAGGAAATTCCAGAATTCCCAAAATACGCCTGAGCAGCGCACCTAGGTTAGAGGGGACCGAGGGAAAGGGACAAGCATCTTCTCGTGCTGCCTTGTGGAGGCCACTGCCGATGGAAATGGTGCTTTGCCACAGCTGTCACCAGCACAGACTCCTGGGCTCAGGAGCACCATGCGGGTTGCTCTAAGTATGCAAATGGTCACAGCAAATTGGGGAGCCACACAAAGCTATTAATAAATTCGAGACAAATTTGGTTTTCTGCCTGAAACGATGAAATCCTGCAAGGTTCATCTTAACATTTCTGAAACCAAGTGCTCTGGTTTTAAGAGTTAGATTGCAAACACAGACGTGGTTAACAAACTGGAGGCGAAGGGACTACACTGCTGCTCTTGTATATGCTGTGTACTAACTTCTTGCCCACATTCTCCCAGCTAAAATCTTCCCTCTGCCCAATTCAGAACAGGCTTTATGCCAAGCACCTCCTTGCTCTGCACAGCGCTTGATGTCTGGGTTACAAAACGTTATGGATGACTGATTTTCCTCTATTCAATCTGATCCACTGTGTATAAATATTCACGGAAAGGAGGCATGAAATCCAAAGTCATCACCACTGACTCACTAACTAAACAGCAACATAAAAATCAGTTTTGGGTTAGTCTGCAACAAAATTTCCCTTTCGTTTCTCAGAGCTGACCTGAATTTAAAAAAGGGGGTTTTAAAACAGTGACTTGCACAGCTACAGGAATAAAAACGTTTCCCTATCACAAACCATTTAGGGCCAAACATGCAAAGGAAAGCAGGTGAGAGAGGCAAAGCAACGCGATCAAACAACCGACAGCGATGATTAAGACTCACGTGTCCAGTGCCACGGCTTGCTCGTATGAACGTTTTGCGTTCTCAATGTCTTCGAGGTTTGTCAGAGCAACTGTACCAAAGAGAAACGTACACACACAGGTTGATGCTTCACAGGGATTTCATTTTTAGGACAATCCTGAATGTCATTACATCTTAAAACGCTAGCAGGGTTGTCTGGACTGCTGCCAGGATTAACCCTACTCGTGTCATTTCTGACAAATACTTGTCTCGCTTGATACCAAAAATGTCCAGTGCTGGAAATCCACACTCCCTCCTTAAGCAACCCAAACCCAAACTCTTACATGTAGAAAGTCTTTTCTCATGTTTAATCTGCATCTGACTGCAGTTTAACCTTCCTCTTCACCAGAGAGAGAACAGACTATTCAGACTACATACCTGTCAGAGACCTACTGGAGAACTGCTCCTTCGTACTGCCTTTGACCAACATTTATTTACTTTCTCTCTAGTGCTGCATCCTCTAAGCTGGACATCCAGCGGAGCCGGGTAACGGAGCATTGCGTACCTGCAAGCAGCATGTACAGCTCTCCCATCTTGGGCTGGAAGTTGATGGCGGCACTGAGGAAGTGGAAAGCAGAGGCGTACTGCTGCATCGTGAGGTGGACTAGCCCCAAATTGTACAAAATCTTCCAGTCAAAGGGAGCCAAGTAGTTTGCCCGCTTCAGGCAACTGATAGCCTTCAAAAAAGGAATAAATGTGCTGTAACACAGCTCACCCAGAGCAGACCTCCTGTCTCTGCCACAAGAAGAACCTTGTTCTTCCATGAAGTTGGCTACAGACGAAAAAAGAAAGGAAACCAGACACTTACTGCTACGTATTTCTTCTTCCCAAAGAAGCACATGGCAATGTTGTTCCACAGCGGGGGGCTTTCAGGCACAGTGCTGGCTACCACCCTGTATTTGGAGAGGGCAACATCAAAATCTCCGTGCGCCTGCATCATGCTGCCAGCAGCCAAGGTAGCCTTGAAGAAGACAAGAGTGACCAGCTGAGGAACTGCGTTTTCCCAAAGATAGCACAGAGACAACAGGCCAAAATTAATAAACTAAAGCCATCTCAAGAGCAACCCTTTAACTTTTTCTGGTGTTTTCTTCTAGGGACTGCCAAGACCAACGGTGGGGAGCAGATAGGGACTCCAGAAGCTTCCAGCATACAGCAGAAGACAGGGTAAAGAAGTGACTCGAGTTACTGCACCATCTCAACCGTAACGACCTCAGAAATACTGCAACATGACAAGCATTTAGGGTGTGTTTTGGGGTGACAGCAGTACCTCCTGCTGTCTGTGTCTCTGAGAAGATAGATGCACTAATAGTTCCTTTTACAAACAACTACTGTTTGTAAAATAGTTCTGGTGTGGGTTAACCAGAGAGTTAAACACAGGCAAGTGAGACAGAGGCAGCCAAGCTAGCCTAGTTCACACTGACTGGTTGATACTGCAAATCACGGAAATACACATGGGAGAAAAAGCATGTGGTTGCAACACACCATTTAAACCACACTAGTTAAGTCCTTTATAATAATTCACAGTGAAGAGTAACATTTGCAAGTGTAAAGGTGTTTTCACAATAACCTTTGGCTTGCATTCATGTAGCATTTGCCAACCACAGGTTTCAGTACTCTACATTGTTAGCATTGTACAGAAGGAAAAAGAAGCAGAGAGAAATGAAGTAACATGCCCAAAAAGGGTAGCAGTTTCACAATCGGGAATGAAACCTAGATGCCAAGCCCAGCTTTCCAGGCCAGAGCCAAGGAAAAGTCACATTTATACACAACAGCTGGAAGCACAGACAGGATTGTTAGCAGATGGGAGAGTGATACAATGGAACATCACTTTTCTCTGTGCTCTGTCCCTAGGAGTCACAGGGACCCGAGCACAGCTCTTGGGATTTTTGAAACCATGTCTAGAACGTTTTTCTTGCAAAGTAAATTCCATTTATTTTGTTTGCGACTTCCGATTAAAAACCAAAGGGATCAATTTAACATCCCATATGCTGCCTCCTCCCCTTTCCCTGCCTCCCCCTCCAACTCCCTATGCCGGGAAAGGTCCCAGAAATGTGTTTCAGGGAAAGCTTTCTGGGCATGATACTTTTCAGTCTCTCCAGGCTCAGACCCTGGATATAGATGGCAAAGCTCTGATACTGGAATTAGCTTTAAGAGGTGTTTCATCAGCATTCAGCTGGTTCGTTTCCACTCCTCAGCATACCTTGTAGTTGCCTGGGTCATAAGTAAGCGCGTTTCCAAGGTGTTCAAAAGCCTTCTGGTAATCCCCAAGCTGGGAAAAGAAGTAAATGAGCATCAGAAATTCAGGAATATGGGGGTTAAGAAGAAGAACACATGCTTTTTGGGCAGCAGAATTTATGATTCAATGAAAACAAAGATTCAGAAGAGTGAATTTTACAGTGCTCCCATCACAGACCGACATTCTTGTTTGGGAATTTACAAAACAGATTCTAAAATGGATTTAGCTGAGCTGGATTCACTGTTCGGACCAAAGCAAAGGTTTCCATATAGTTTGTGTTCTGACATTTCTGTACAGGAGTGAGCTCTGGGTTGACACTCCTCTGCTCCTTCCTCTCTTCCAGCAGAGACTACAAATTGCTACCTGCACATCCTCCATTCCCTCACAACTTCCTCATGCCCCAGGGCTCTCTTTCCACACTAAAAGGTCTTCCCCTGTCTTTTAATGGGCTGCAAGTGCTAGTGGGCACGACTGTGATCACACAAAAGCACATGACTGCTTAGAATCACTTAAATCCTACTGTTCTCAATTGACTTGTGCCAGAATTGTACCAGCCCAAACAGGATAAAATTCTGGATACTGGTGTCCTTTTTTGGTCACAAAACTTGATGAGAAGCCCATCTGTCACTCCAGCAATTATACCGATGCATCACAGCCCAATGCCTTCTGCAATTAATAGCAAGTGGGAAAGCTGCAGAAGCATCTTTAAAATTCCTATTCCCTTCTAAATCTACACATACCCACTGAAGACATGGAAGGCTCCTATTGAATTTCCCTCTCTCTAGAGCATGGCAATGTTTTTAAGATCTACATTTTATTCTCAAGCACCTAAATTATTAAAGAAATGCTTAAGGATCTTTCCAAACCAGCACTTGGTGCAAGTTTCTGGGCCCATCGATCCTTTCAGGCACTACTGCCTGTTCTTCTTTGCTTGTTCATTCTTTGTGAAGCTTACTTTTGGAATAATCAGACAGTCCTTCCCATAAATTGTACAGACCCACGTGATAAGCATGCCCTTGCTGTTCAAATCGATGCCGATTTTCTTCTGTGGTGCATTAACACTAACAATTTTAAGGCTGCTTTTGTAGGAGAATAACATGCTAGACTCCTCCTCCAGAAGCAAGGTAATGACTACTCATGTTTTGTTGTATTTGAAGGATTTATAACAGAATTAGGATGGTTGCCAAACAGAATTCCTGCTCTGGCTCGGGCCCAGGAAATCAACTTGCCTTTAGCAGCAACAGGAAGATAGAGAAAAGCAAGCTCTGCCCTGTTAAATGCAGCCTTTAGAGAAACATGTGCCAGTCATAGCAAGGTGGATTGAAATTAACTCTAATAAAAACATCCAAACCAGCACATGGTCATTCTGAAAATAACTAAGTTCACGTAATAGCTAACAGTCTTCAGTACCTGCAAGTAAAGTAACCCCAGTGTTGTAAGGAGATCCGTGTTTTCTGGAGAAAATCTGTAATACAAAAGCCAGAGAGCTGCATTTAGCCCTTCTAGAACATGGCACTATGATGCTATATTATACTAGTATAACCCCAGGAAATTAACTGTTGTTATTAAACGCAAACGTCAGAACAATTGCCATCATGGGGACTTCCTTTGAACAATACTACACCTAAGCTTTCAACATGTCTTCTAGATGTAAATGGGAAATAAACAGAGCTCTGGATGCATTATAAGATAATGTGGTTTTGTTAAGCTTCAAAGCGAGTCTGTAACAGTGACCTGGAAATACAAAATGGGATTTTCCATCGTCTCTCATAAACCACCCTGTAAATCCATCCCAAGCCTCCTGGGCCATGTAGAACAGGCAATCCTCAGCATTTCTGATGGGTCCTAAACATACTCATCATCAGACTTTTAATTCACCCTATAAAAAGATTACGAACCTGGTTTCACAGACCAGCTGTGGACTGCTCACCACACCTTTGTTCTACACTGCAGCCCACAGACCCGAGCGCTCAGACAGGCACTACCTGTTAATGTAGCCCTGGACACACACACCACTCCATTCAGCACAGAGAAGCTTGAAAAAATACCTCCCAAGGGCTTTCAACCGCTGTATACTACTCCCAATCCTTCACCGCTAGTATGAGGTTCACACAGCGATGGTGTGAACCCTTTTGAAAGCAGCCCCATCCCCAGCAGCTTTGGAAGACATAAATAGGATGAAAACAAAACAAAACAGAAAAAGAAAATGCAGAGGCACTGTACATGTCTGTGTCCCTGCTATCGAGAGTGAAGAAATCCAGTATGCACCATCACGTAGGCCTCTTTAAATCTGAACCAGAACAAAACTGCCTGTGCCTGGCGGCATAAAAACAGAGAGCAGCAACAGACTACCCTGTGCTGTAACAGCAGGCAAAATGTAATAGGCAGATGAGAACAAAAAAAACAGGAGCGAGGAAGAAGGGAGGGCAGGGGAGCACTGAGATAAGATACGTAAACCTGGTAAGATGCTTAGCAAGGATTATTTACGTAATAAACATTCCAGATTAGTCCACATGTCTACCCAACGCAACATACTGCCAGACAGCAGCCAAAAGCAGATGTGTAAGGAAACAGTATGTGAAAAGAGCTGGTGCAAAATATAGATCCTGCACTGGCTTACAGCATGCTCCTGCTTTTCTTCCGTGTTTGCCTCCATTACAAAACTACATTTTAAAGCACTGGCAAATCAGATGCTCAGCACTGATAAATCAGATGCTCAGGAAAAAACAAGATAGATCGGTACTGAGGAACACTGACGGGGTGGGAGAAACTCACTGCGCGCCAACCCATCTCTAGTCCGCCTACTCATGCTCTTTCCAACACAAATCACTCCAAGTGAAAACAGTATGTGAAACCCAGCAACTGACTTTGGACAGATGCTCCGGGTTAGAGAGACACCCGGAGTTAGATCTTTTTGGTAGATAAACCTTTGGGATTTATGAAGTCAGTTTTGGATAGGTTTGCTCCCAGGCATCTCTGTCCATTTGTTTTTCCACTTTTCCTTGGCAGACCTTCAAACAGCTACCTTCTTCCCTGACACATTGTCAGCAGGAGGAGGACTACAGCTGAGAGCAGAGACAGCTGAAGAGCTTGAAAGTGCCAGCATTGCACAGAGACACTATAATTACCATTAGCTTTTTAATCATGTCCTCAATTCAGATCTGGGGCAGCAATCAAATTTCTCCTGGCATAGGATGGGACATGGGCAGACAGAAAAAGGAATATATTCTTACTCTACTGCTTTCTTATAGACTTCAATGGCTTTATCCGTCTCCCCCTCCAATAGGTGAATTTTCCCCAGCATCATGTAAGTCAGATCATGTCTGTTGAGCTCCAGGGCATTGTTTAGCTGGTCTCGTGCCTAAACACACAACCACAGAGAAGAAAACAAAAATAGTAAGCGATTACAGAGCTCAAGAGCAACCCACACCAGCTAGCGAAAGGGAACAGCAAACACCCCCTGAGCTCAGAGAACCCTGCTAGCAAAACCCAGCCTAGCTAATTGTTGAAACGAGTTCTGCATCCGGAGCTGCGTGCTCTCAGGGGCAGAAAAAGGCAACACGGCGTGCGTCAAGCCAAGACAAGAGGTAATGATCTCCCAAGGAGAGGAGCACAGGCCTGTTCCCCTATTTGAATTTGTTTGGTTTAAGGGAATCTCCAGATTTGTTAGGTTTACAGGTACATTACAGTTTATTCTTCGTTAAAATGCTTATTCCAGCAATAAGTGCGGATTGCAAAGTAAAAAACAGTGAATCAACTCCTCCCAGGCACACACCGATCCCCCCCAACAGGAGACACTCTGAAGCCTGTCTTCCCCATACTTCCTCAGGCCTCACCATCAGGACAGCAAAGACCATTTTCTGTCTCTGAACACGTGATATATTAGAAAGAGAAATGCTGACACCGTAATGGAATTCTGCAATCCAGGCCATTTGTTTCCAGTAACTACTGAAGAGACAGTCATCCCCGAGGGCTTCATTACATTTTAGACATCCTCATGGAAGGACTGCTGCCCAGGGTGACCAGCACATCTCCAGATGTCAGCAGCTCCACATTTGGAAGGTGACAGCACAGACAGCAAATCCCAAGTATGAACCTATACTCCAGAGCTTCTTGCTCTGCAGTGATGCCTCAAACCGGGAACACATCAGGGGTTTGCTGCAGGGGCCACAGCACTCCACCAGAAAGAGCAGCAGGGCCAAACCAGGAACAAAAGGTTTCTAAAGGTTTCCCTTATAAATTAACCCCACAGGATCAGAGACAGCTCAGTGCCCACCACCAGCACCTAGGAGAGGGTTAAGTGAGGAGCTGGGAATGGCATGCTCCGACCTGGGGACAAAACTCCATTTCAAGCTTTCAAGAAGTTCTTTATTAGCTACACAGCTAACAAAGTTAGTGCTGACCGCACTGCAGCTACGCTCTCTTGTGACTTTTGCTCCAGGCTTAGTGCAAAAGGAGGTTCAGACAGGAGCAAATCCTTGCTGTGGAGGAAAAAAGGTGCCTGCCGCACCTCCAGCAAACAAACCCCGTAACTCTTCACCGCAGGGCAGCAAGTCCTCCTTCAGAACCTCTACACGAGGCACAGCAGTTTTTGAGCTGTAGGCTGGGAAAATGGTTTGGGTCTTTACCATCACACTTCCCTGTCTTCAAGAGATGGAACTGGCACGCTCTACAGATTGCTGTTCCTCACAAAACCAGCAGTGTTTATGGTTCTGGTTTTAAAAGGCTCGGGAACAGAAGCAGCTCTTGTTGGAGCACAGCTGTTTTCCTGTCTCGTTTAAGGTGGCTCTTTGAGGTTTCTCAAACATTTCTTTTAAAAACAGAAATACTATCTGAAAAGTCCAGGTTCAGAAAAAGCCTCCTGGCCAGCAACAAGGCTAACCTCAGTTTCACTCTTGCCCAACTTCACTTGCAGCCGACTCAGAGTCATACAACATGCAAATGAAAAAAGAGACAGCTCATAACTTTTGCTCCCAGAAATACACACTGAAGCAAAAAACTTCTTTGACACCCATCACTGCAAATGACCGACTTCAAACTACCAGAGAGAGTGAAATTCCTGGCAACCTTGCTTCCCATTTGTCAGGTAGATGAGACGAGCATTTGCATTACCTTGTTGAAGTGCTTCAGGTACATGTAGCACACACCCAGGTTGTGGCTGATCTCCTATAAAAAAACACAAGAAAACCCAAGAAAACAAATCAGCATGAGGTTTGAGATACATGCTGCCAGTGATAATACTCATCACACCTGGATGGAGAGACCCCTGCGCCTGCCCACAGCCTTCTTGCTTTGTAGTACAAATAAACCTATAAATTCAAGGAGCTTCAGGAACCTACAGAGCTTCAGTGTGATTGTACACAGAAGACTATGGGCTACTGACATAAAAAAACACAGAAACAACGATGGTCTCTTCAGAGAACAAGGAGCAAAGGCTGGTTTCTTCACTGAGATGTGACTCAGTTCCCAAGGAGATCTCTGAAGCTAGATAAATTGCTCCCAACCTACCTGTAGAGTCATTAGATACGCACAATGCTGCACCCAGCTGGACAAATTTTGAAGATGTGCCTGATTTTCCAAACCAGAAGTCGAGCACCAGAAGAGCTGATATCCCTCTGGCACCTTAAACACATTGGCAACAGAGTAGGAAGATCACTTAGGGATCCTAAACACTTTGGTGACACTGTAGGGAACAATCATGTCTCTAATCCATCACCGACAGCTTAACAGGCAAGCTACTTGCACCCTCCCCACCCTGGCACACTGTGGGGAGCTGAAAAGCAAGGTCCACTAGTTCCTCGTTTCTATTCTGGTGAGCGTTGCACTGCTTCATCAGTTTAGACAGCCTTGACCTTTAGGAGGAAACTCTCTTATTTCCCCATTAACCCTCTTAGAATGATATTTTCCTCCACACAGTCTCTCCAACTGTGGAGAACAGTAATGAATCAGTAACTCCTCGTTACTGCAGCTTGCAGACGAGACAGCGCAAGGGCTGTCGCTACTGTGCTGCAAGGGCAGCACAGGCTGGCTCTGCTTCCAGTGCTGAGCCAGGTTTGGGAAATAGCGAATGAAAATGCCCACTGAAGCCTGCCTGCTGTGGCTGGAAATAGGGTTATAGGCATGCCAAGCACATACTGCAGGTCGCTTGGTTAGCTAAGGGGATGCAGACTTGAAAGAAGACCCACAGTATGAAAGGTTTCTGAGTTGTCTGGCACAGGATAAGTTGAATAATACCAAACGTATACCCTTTTATCAAGCCTGAATTTTAGATGTACTGAGCACCTTAAGTACGGCTAAAGTCACTGAGTGCCTGATGTCTTAGGGAATGAGATCACATGTAGCAAGTCTATCTTAGAAATAACACTTCCACAGGCAAAAGTCACCTGCAGAAAGCTGCCCACAGCCAACTGCAAGCCATGTCTTCTCTCCTCTCACCCACTGTCACACAGTCCTTTTGCAATGCTCTTCCTTCACTTTTTGTCTTCTTATACAGAACAGCCAATTTAATTATTGCCTCTGTAGCTATCAGCCTACATCTTGCCAAACGAGGTAACGGTACCCTTTCAGGTAGTTTGAGGGTCACCTTTTTCCATGGTGTTTTCCATTCTCAATTATCTTTATTCCCAAAAAGATTCCCAATTATTCAAGCCAGTTTTAATAATAACTGAAGGTTTCCAAACAGGGAGCTCCTTCTCACCTTTTCCTTACAGTAATTTAGCTCTTTGTACTACATAAGGCTCTGTTAATACTGATACTTTGCAAAGCTCAAACGTTGCTCGATTCTCTGTGCCCCAGGATGAGGTGTGGGATTTTGCAGGTAGAAACGATGCCTTGCTCCTGTGACCCAAACCAGACGCTGTAGAGGCTCGTCCGTGCCCCTGAGGCTGTGCTAAAAGGCAATGCCTCTCGCCCGCAGCTCCTCCTCTGCTCAGACTGCAGGCAGCACCAGCTCACCTCTGCCTGGAACAAGTCCGCAGACACATCTGCCTAGTGAACAATCTACAACTCACTGAAACACTTACCCAGTCCTTTTCATTGAGTTTAGCTGCTTCGTTGTACACTTCAATGGCTGCCTTGTGTTTCCCCAGAAGAAACCTGTGGAAGCATTTCAGTTTTTATTTTTCAAGACCTATTTTTATTTTTTCTTGCTCTGCAACCCCATTGCACAACCACTCTCACCTTCTCCAGTGGGAAATGACACTGTTTGCTAGTTCTCCAGAGCCCTGAGAAGTTGGCAATCTCAGCGATACGACAATGGGAGCACTGCTCCCTTTCAGGGCCAAGGCCATCAAACCTGCGAGATGCTGAGGCACTCCCTGACATTACTGGAGATGCAAGGAATGAATTCACAGGCTCTGCAGCCTGCCTTTGTCTCAGAGGAAAAGGATGATCTAGCTGGACATTCAGAGCCACAAAGGGGTCTGTAGAGCAAGTTTGCACAGCTCAAGTCAGCACTCTTAGCTCCGGAGCTAGAAATCAGTGCCTTACCTCTCTTGCTTAAAGCGCTAAGGAAAAGAAAACACAATGGCAGCCAGGCAGATAACAGAGATGCTGCCTTCAGGAGTAGCCTACACCGCTGGAAGCTAACTCAAGGGTTGATAAGGAGGAAGCATATTTAGAATTAAGCAGCCTGGGATTTCACTTGATATCTGGGAGAAAAACAAAACATGGAAGGTCCTGGGTGGGACATCAAAGAGAAACAATAAAACACCACTCACAGCGATCGAGCCACCTGCTTGAGGTTGTCAGCACTTCGAGGGTTCAGAATGGAACATGTTTGAAAAAGTTCAAGAGATTCTTGAATTTTCCCCTCCAAGCGAAATATCAAAGCTGAAAGACAACATATGCCAGGCAAATCAGTCCATTATCTGCAGGAAAAACGTGCCTCCGACAGCAGGGAGAGGAGGGGGAATACAGCTATATTATAACAACACTCATTTGGTCTTTCCCCTGAAAGGCAGAAGCTGTGTCTGAGGGCAGAATCACAATTCATGCAAAGGCCTTGTGCTTGCTTGGAAAAATGTCTGGTTTTCAGAATAAAGGCAGCTTTGAACCCTGGCAAATTGCTCATTAAGATGCAGTCCAGATTTCTCCCCCCACCCTGACTTCTACAGGCTGCAATATGTGCTTGGCCTCGTCCTGGTCATCTGCCAACGTGACATGCAGCACTTTGAATTGCAACACCAAATTTTGAGGGACATTTTTTACCAGACGGAAGGCAGGAGAGGAAGAGGAAGATCATCCTTAAAGCAAACAGTAAGACAACAATCACCTGAGGCTGGTAGCTCTAACAGGAAACACATCTATAATACAATCAAAACCACAACCCAAGCGCACACCAGCACATTGAAGGCCAAGAACACAAGGAGGAAGTGGTGACAAACTCATTGATATGGAGAAAACAGAAAATCTAATCTGTCCATTCATGTGAAAATTCCAAACTTCAAAACTAGACCTAGCAAGAAGAAAAAAGCGAAATATTTTTTACATATGAATTTTATAGGTTTCTATCACCTGTTCCCCTTACTGTTCACTGTATCACAAATCAGAAGTAACTTGCTTTAGCAAAATTTAGACTTTCGGAGGCCTCCGGTGACAAACCTTGAACGTAGACTGCATATTCACACAGCCCGTGAGACTCCTGGAGCTGCTCTTTGATGACAGCCTGAAATGACAGAGTGCAGAGAGTACATACCAAACGCATCCCCTCACCCGAAAACCTGGTTCACTGCTACCCCACTACTGAACTGCAGCATGGCAGCTTTCAGAAGGATAGAAACCCGGCACGTACTTTAATGAAGGCAGTCCCTAGGGAAGAAAATCGATTTCTAACTGATCAAATACCTTCTGCAACCTTGATTTGGAGTATTTTTTGTACAGCAGTGCTGTATCTGTGCTTCCTGCAGAATGCCCTAAAATAACCTGAACTCAAACATCATGCAACATGTTGATGGACACAGTTCTAGCCTACATGATCGTAAAGGTGGTATCGCACGGGACATGACAACCGCAACATTCATTTAATGAGAAATTGTGCTTGGGAAAGTCAATGTTAATACAGAATTTGTAGCCCATTACTGCAATATACTATATTAAAATGTCCTGAGAGTGGTAAACTGTCAGCATTTTAACAAAGCCAATGACAGAGATTCAGTTTCAGTTACAGAAACCACAACCCCACATATAATAAAGGCACTGAGCTGCGAATGGGACAACTACAAGAGTGCAGAGAAGAGTGCAAGATCATCACCGTGTGTGAAGAGCACTGTGCCAGGAATACTGCAGCCCTTTTAGCATTTCTCTGTTCATTCCTATTACCAAAGATAATTAGGTATTACCTGGGGAAAATGCCACGAGGAATCTCTGAAACCATCCTCTGCTGATAAGGGTATCTACTCTAGGCCCTTCGTGAAGAAACAGATTTAATTGGAATAACTGCAGCTGAGTCTATGAAAGCCAAATGGACAAACGATGAGTACATGGGAAAAGGAAGGGGAAAAAACCTGATGGAAATATAAATTCTTGCTGGCTGCATTCATGCAGCTGACAGTCTGGGGCGCGGGTGCAGTTGGCTATATTTCATAGTCACACGTGACCTGAAATTGTAAAACCGGTCAAGAAGAGTGACTCTGGGGAGGATGAGCACCGTGGCTATCAATCAGGCATATCATTTCTGCTCTGAGACCCCTCTTTTGCTTGGAAGTGGAAGAGACATAGGGAGGGAAGAAAGGTATCTGTGCTAGCAATAACCTGGTGCTCAGCTGACACCTCTGTGAAGTGCATGAGCAGCCTCCAAGACAAATATAAGTGAGGGACCTAAAAAATAAGGAGAAAAATTAAGCCTCAAAGAGGGAAAGTGGGGTGGAGGCAAGGAGAGTTCTTTTTGAGAATCCTCACTCATAAAAAGAAAATTAAAGAGAGGAAGGAAAAGGAATAACAAGCCTAGGCCGTTCTTCCCAGATCTGTACCTGCTAGTATCTCAACAAGAGACCCTCCACAAGCTACATTTCAGTCTTTACAAAGTACGGTATTATAGGACAGACTGGGCGTAAACAAGCATTTTCTGAATACAGATACTCTACATCGCTCTGTGTACATAAAGCCAGTTTCTCAGAGCAAGAGAGGGCAATAGAGAGCTATCTTTTAGAGAGATCTGATTAATTCTACAAGCCCTAAAAAATCCCATAGCAAAAGGCCTCGAGCTGAGAAACATAATCTGTATTCCCAGCTTTTCCTCCCAAGTTTATTTAACTCGCTGACTGAATTTAGACATACTGGCAGGAGACCAACCAGCATGAGCGATTTTAATTAATTAAAAGCATCTGGTAATTTTAATAATTCCTTCCTCGCACATACAGAAGCAGAAGATTTCTGCTGTGAAAAACGGTGAGGAGGCAGGGCTGGGATTGACGCTGCAAGGAGAAAACAGAGTTTATTAGCTTTGCATGTGAAGAGCAAGAGCAGAGTGACGATCACTGCTTAGCGGGGCTTGTCCTTCCTCTCCCCCATTCCTCCCCGCCTGTGCGATCGCAGAGGATGCTGCAGCCGCAGGCTCCGGGGGACGTTTGCCTTGCGTCTTGCTGGGCAGGGGCCGAGTTGAATCAAACAGCCCGCGTCATTCATCCCTCGCTCTAACGAGCAGCAAAATTTGTCAAAAGCTTGGCAACGCCAAAACAGACGCAAGACTGGCACTGTAAGGATTAAAATCAATGTAATACCTTCACTTTGGGGAGCTAATGCTGGTAAACAAACAGTTTTTTCTTGGTCTTCTACATCGCTGAAAAATAAGTGAGCTTTTAAAACTGAGTTAGAGAGGAAGCATTTCAATGTACTGAGTGGGAAAAAGGATCTAGCAAGATTCAGACCCAAATTGATAGCATCACAGGTCACTTGCTTCTTAGCTGGGTCTTAAAAGAAAACTGATAGATTCTAATGAATGCCCAAACTATACTGAAATCAAGGAGTTAACAGCAATTTCAGCCCTTGGGGATACTGTCAATACCTCTTTCATTTTTGAAGGTATTAGCCCAAATAGGATGTTTGGGAATGCCTATGCTTACCACGTATGAGAGCGAGCACCTGGGGCATCCAGGTTAGCTCCATAACCACATGTAACACCAGCAGAGAGAGACTGAGCTTACCCGAGGGCAGCTCAGCCCACCTAACATCTGAATCGCATTTGGGATGTGCCTATCACTCCTCAGTGACTGAAGAAGCATCCCAGATGCTGAGGGTCTGTTTTTTTTGGAGAAATCCAAAGCATCTATCCATCACACATGGGTGAAAGGAGGGAAGATCATTTAACCAGCTATGGTCTGGTACTGAACTCTTCCAACTTTGCCATAAAAAGCCTGTTTTGTGAGCCCTGAGGAAAGGCTTTGCTGCCTTTTACTTTGACAGCTACTGCAAAGCTGGCCTGCCAAGCAAAAGAGTATTTGCTGCCTTTTCTCAATTTTTTCCCCCATATTTTGCTTGCTTCCATGACTGATGAAGACGTGGAGAACTCAACGTTGCATTATATCACCCACTTGGTTATTTTCTCTGTTTTCCTTAGCCGCCTATCTTTTCTGCACTCCGTGATTCTACATTCCATTACAGCGACAGTAAAAGTACACAATCCGAGACCAGTCAGATCTAATGCAGTCAGATCAACAGAAGAGGGAAACAATTTTCTACTTAGACTGACAGTCCAACCTTTTTTTATATCTATTTAAACCAAGATCTGAGAGGAAATTGCTCTACTGGTGATACAACCCTCTGGGCTCCATTAATTAAAAGCTAAATTAATTCCCTCCAGCCTGCCACTTTCCTAAGCACCCCCAGGAGTCCTCCAGCAGAGAGAGACAAGTCCTGACCAATCCTGGTGTTTCAGAGCAAAAAAGCCTTTTCAGATCTTCCTTGCACATGACAGAAAAAGAAAGGCTTATTCCCCTCCTCCTGCCCACTGGCATATTGTCTTCAATACCTCATGTGCTTTTTATCAGCAAAACACACTGTTTAATAATAGATTTGCCATTTCCTTAGTCCACTTACTATTACAATCCCCAACAACCAACCACTTCCAAGATATCCACCAAACCCAGGAGAAATTAGAGGGTGCAATGTATCATGTGTAAAGTGAAAGAATTTTGCTCAAGGGTAACCAAGATCTTTTTATTTTAGATTTGGTGGTAATGTTTTACTCAAGTTAAGTGGTTTTCATAGCGTCTCTGTAGGACCGTTGAGAGACCTGCCCTATGGAACTGTGTTATTATGCGTTTGGAAGACCCTATTCATCACTTGGAACAAGAGGTTTTCACTTCTTTCCATTCTTCCACTCCCAAAGACATAGTGAGCTCACAGATTGCTCCAGAGAACTGCACGCATGAATCCCAAAGGTAGCCAACAATTTGAGAACATGAAAGTTATTTTACTTGTATTTTCTCCTGGTCTTCTTATTCCAGAAGTCAGGAGAGAGGGTGGTTTGAAAACTGGTATGAAAACTATCATTTCATAACATTATTAAAATACTTCTTAATGCAAGGTCTGAAAAGCAGCTCTTACCTTACACTCGTCGTAGTCTCTGCGAGCATACAGCAGATAGATCAACCAGTTTTTCCTCTCTAGGATTGGTAACTCTTGTGCTACATGTAAAACATGAACAGAATGCAGTAAATCAGGCTGATTACCAGATACACTAGGCACAGCACAGAGATACTCTGAATCTACAAGCACAACTAATTCAAGAACTGTGATTGCACTGGGCAGTGCAATTAATCATTTGACTTGAAGCCTTGAGTGTGGACATACAAACAGCATCCAGTTTCACTTTACTTCTCAAACTGATGGATGAAATGCATGGTTCAAGACAGACACAAAGTAAGACCTGTTAGCAGAAAAGTATGACCCCAAAAGCCTTCAGGCATTGGCTCCTTCTGGTGCAGTTACTAGGGCAAACAGCTCCAAGCACCAACTACACGTTTGAATTCAACACTAAAGGTGGTTTGGTGGAATCGGTTCTTCCAAATAAGTAACAAGCATCTCGGAGGAAGCGAGCTGGGTTCACATTTTGGAACTAGAGTGGAAGAATCAAAGGTCTCTAAAATGAATTTCTGGGCATGAATGAGAAGGAAATGGGCAATACACAATAAGGAGATTTTGGAGATGTTGACGGTGTGAAGGTGTGAATAATTTGAAGAGGTCAAACCTAGTTCTTTGAAACTGTGATTGGGCTATGAAACATCACAGGTCTGAGATACTGTGAAGCTACTGGCAGAGAAACATATTTGATGCAGTGGAGGAGAAAGATTTGTGCTCCAGCATTTCAATCCTAAGGAGCTTGCAGCAGTAATTATGGCAAATCACGAATTGATGTTGCTTAGTGATATTCACGTTGGGTTTCAAAGTTTAACACACTGCTGTGCATTTCATTAAGCCTTGAAATGTATTGCTTGTTACTCATTTCTACAGTTCAGATGTGGGTAGCCGAGAGGTAACCATAGCAACTGGCAAAAAAGCTATATGTTTGCAAGTCAATATTATGACAGAAGTGCAGAAGCAAAGCAAGGCGAGGGCTGTTGCAGGAGCCGGGGCAGCGGGAAGGGCGATACAGCACCACGCCACCTCTTCCCAGCCCCGTGGAGCACGGCACGGACCCACACCACCGACGGAGATGCAGGCTCAGCTTCAGAAACCCAGAGCAGAAGGCATTATTTGAAGTGGCCCGCAATCCCCTCTGCCAGCCGGCGGCACAGGTCATCATCAGATGTAGGAAAGAAGAAACCAGAGCTGGAAGAACTGAACCATGGTCGGGAGACGTTCTGGTGTGCAGTGTCATTATCCCTTAGGAACGCTGAGCTCTAACACGTGAGGACTGCACCGGCGGCTGGTAGCAAACTCATCTCAGGCATACCAGGCTCTCCCCCACAATTCACACCAAGTCTAGCATCACTGAGAGCACTTAAAAACAACCAGAGCCTTTTCAGCTGCTTTTTTTTTTACAAAAAATTTTGTGAAGCCATTCTGGTTTTGTTGTGGTTTTTTTTTTTCCTTGAATTTCAGGGTATCCAGCCAGATTTATACTGGAGCTGAGATTTAAGTGTGCACACCAGCAATTTAAGGTCAAAAGCCGTATAAAGAAGGTTCAACTACCCTAAAAAACAAATAGAAAGATTACCGTCCAAACAAAAAGGTAATCCAAACAAGCTAAGCTTACAGAAACGTACAGATCAGGGATCCAAGTGTTCTCAAATTCTGCTCTGCTGTGTAGCATCTGGATCTTTGTAAATAAGGCATTTTAATATGCCCATTCCCAGATCAAATTAATTGATTTGTAATTACTTCATGTTTTCTATTTGTCCTGATAGTGAAACCGGAAGGGAAGAGTTAACAGGCTGCCTAAACAGCTACAAATTTATTGAAAAAACACAATTTCATAGAGTCTGGAGGGCTGCTGATCTGAAGTCCATTGTATTGAGGCGTTAGCTAATTCATTAACAGATTTGTAATGACTTCCCTGTAAGTTACTACAGGTGCCAGGGTTTGACAGAACTTTCTTTTTCGAGAAACACAGCACTTGGAGATGCTAGAAACGAACTGCAGAAAGCAGCCAGACTTGGGTGCTTTTCTTGCCTAGTGTCTCCTGCTGTCACTCTCTGACACGAAATACTCAACCAGACACGTGTCTTAGACACTTCATGCTTTCTTTTGTAAGCATGGATTTAAGAGTAGATATTGCAAACTCTATTTAACCTTAAAAGATTTTTATTACAGTCAAAACTAAAGTATATTTTGCCACTTTGTGCCTAACACAGCTTAAAATTACAAAATCCTGCATCATTATATACACCGCAACTGTCTCAAATAGGGATTAATCAGAAGACTCTCCAGATGTCCTCCAGCTGGTCTCCAGCCATCTGTAGCGCACACCTTACTGGGAGGTTGAAAAGAAATAGCACCATTAAACGTTAAAATATGCAGAAAAGCTACCTGGCTGGGGCATGTTGCCAGCTGAGATGGGAAAGACTAAATTATGTTAGATCCTCCATGAATTGGCTAAGCCAAGAGAACAGCACATCAGCAAGTGGATGGAAGATTCGTTGTTTAATTCCTGACAGAAAGAGCTTTTTCACGCTTTTAAGACCATAAGGACATTATACCCCAACTCCCACTCTACGGAAACGCCTGCTGAGAATGGGGTTGGGAAGGAAGAAACGCTGAACATCACAGCGAGCACTGAGCAGGGTATCAAGCTGTAAAAGAAAAAGGAAAATCAGACACCACCAGCCTTCTAGTCTGAGACTGCAAAAACCCAGAGGAGTTACCTAAAAGAGCCAGGCTGGAGAGAAAACAGAGAAATCAAAACACACCACGAGACACAGGAAGTGAACAGCGTTCACATCTGCAGAGATAAAATACTTTTGTTTCCCCCGATGATAAGCTGAACTAAGGAAAACTATGTGGAATTAGGAAAACACATGGAGTTTTTACGGTCCTAAAACTCATTTGGAAATAGCAACAAGCCTGGCTGAGGAGATACTACCCTCCTTTTTTCTCTTCTTTTTCCCTAAGACAAGAAAATTGAAAAAAGGCAAACAATTCTGATCTCTTTCTAAAAAGACGTCTAGATTAATTCACAGATATAAGTGAATCCTATATCTGAATACAAAGCAAACACAAAGATTCATAGAAGCAAGCTGTTAAGACTCCCTGAATCTATCCGAGAAAGAAAATGGAAACAGTTTGACCCCCTTCTGTGAAGAAATCCAACATGAATCTGGTGTGGATCCCACAGGGGACTGTGAAGAGAGAAAGGACATAGCAACCATGAGAAAATTTGAATAAATTTGACACAGGAACATGTCTGATCCCCCCAGAAAGGGCTGTGGGTAGTACAGGATTATTACCAGGCTCTATATTCAGATGCAGAAAGAAATACAAATTAATTCTATCTGGAGAGGTGTCACCAGAGCCACAACCATCTTTATCTGCATCTCTGGTTTTCCACCAAAGCAGTGAGATCCCTACTTGTGGCGTATTTATCTCCTTTAGGTGTGCTCCCCAGCCTGCTGATAAGGGCTGTCCCAAATGCTCATGGCATTTTCTCTGAAGAAAAGGGAAAGACAAATCCCTGGCTACTTGGGACTCTAACTGCACAGAAATGGAATAAAACATCCTGTGCCTTCTGAAAGGACTCGATTCAATCATTGCTGGTCCTAAAATCCATGTGTTTTTTCCAATAATTATCCACATAATGCCAAAAAAACCCCACACACAGATGATGTGTCGCTCAGCTCTTGCTGCATCGGCCTGAACAGCGACGTATGGCTGGATCCGGCCACAGGAGATGCTACGAGGGGCAAAAGAACAGAAATAAGCACCAGCAGCACGCCTCAGTCATCTCGAGTACGAGGATGATCGGGAACAGTGGAGGCTCCATATGGCATATAACGGTTTGCAATCTCACACTAATTAGAGCCGGGAATACACACTGCCACAACCGGTCGCTCAGGTGGTTTCCACACAGGGAAAGGCTGCCGAATTCGGCCTGTCCACGAGGAGCTGAGCACATTCACCAAGTCCCTCAGGTTGCCTACACTGCAATTTTTCACCTTCTTCAATATATGGGCCATCAGAAGTTCCTCATATGTAGCTAATACGGCTCATATTAAAAGGCGCATTTCTTTGTCAGCTTTTGCAGAGCCCTCGCAAATAATCCAGGCACTGCAGGGCCCACAGGTTAGGGAACAGAGCTGTGTACCATCCCAGCAGTGGAAAAAAGCCCATTATTTTCTGTAAACCAATCTGCTCAAGGGCCAGTCCAAGAAAATACAATTATCCAAAAACTTGGTATCTACAGTGAAAAGGGTTTATAACGTGCATAATTATCTTTCGGCCTCTCTTTTCTGGGATTACAAAAGTCTAGTCTCATTAAGCAACTGCGACAGGGAGCCAGGCACCAAATATATGATTAAATACCTCAGTCGAGAGACGTGCCAGTTTCTTTGAAGTGTTTTGATTGAATTCAAAAGGGAATCTATCTGATCCCCCACTTTCTCGGTGGCCAGTGATTGATTGCACAACCCACTTCCAGCAACGTGATTTTTCTTTCTGACAATGCGCCTTTAAGGAAGCCACTGGAGCGGAAACCCCAACAGAATCGGAGTAAGATCATCAGGTTTGTATCTGTGCTGTGCTATCATCACTCTTTGCTTTATTCATCCTCTTACAGATTTTCCCAAAGGACTGGAAAAAAAATAAGCAGAGTTATTCCCTTTTGTGTAAACCTCCCTAGGAAATTATTTTGTGCTTGCATCTTCATATTGGGTAATTATAGCCTAGATATGAACTATCAAACAGTGGGGTTTAGATTTAATAAAAGGGTTTGGAAATTGCTGTAAAATGAGAGGAGGAAAAAAAAAGAGCCCCGGAAGGCTCCTATCAGACTTCATGGGGGAAACGATTGCTAGAGCACCAGTCAACCTCTAAAGAAATTGCCAGGTGCAAGGAGACCACTTTTGTTGTGGGCACAGCCAGGCTAAAGTGGGTTTCATCATAACCGTGGCCATCAGGCGGCTTTTCACGTTATTTTCTC